GGGGGAACTTGCACAATCGGTGGCTGACTAAATACTTTTTTTGCCCCACTGTATAACAGAGGTTATTGTACTCAGCGATGAAAATCTTAGAAACATGGCGTCTCACCAGATACTTTCTTTGGATGACATTAAATCAACATTACAGTAACACTGTGAATCTTGAAATTGTTGATACTAAACTAGAAATAACTTTGTCCTCTCCTGTAGCTTGTGTTTTGTCCTGTTTGTTATTTTTGATCTCTCAAGACTTTTTTCTTACTTTTCTCTTTTCTAATTACTCTACAACTGGTCAAAGCAGATAGCTGCCCGTCCCTCAGTCTGGTTCTGTTGAAAGTCACGTCCTAAAGGGTGTTCTTCACTGTCATCAAGTGCTGCTCACAGGGGACTAAGTAAATGTTGAAATTCGATGCTTAATATTGTAGGATTTTGCTTTATAAATCAATTTTAGGCTGCTGTTTTCATCTCTTGTGGTTTGTGGCTTATGGATGACATTGTATCTCAATATTTAAAAATAAAACATTCAGGGAACAGTTCACAGATTGATTGCTGTTTTGTGTGTTCACAGGCTGTCAGGCTGTTTGATCAAAGAGGAAGGCTGTACTTCTCTGGCTTCAGCTCTGAGCTCTAACCCCTCTCATTTGAAGGAGTTGGATCTGAGCTACAATCATCCAGGAGACTCAGGAATGAAGATGCTTTCAGCTGGACTGAAGGATCCACAATGGAGACTGGGCACTCTCAGGTATGTAAAGAATGCCTGATAGAGGAGGAAGAGCTGAAAACACTTTGTTTCTTGACTGTTTGTGTGACTCTGAGATGAACAATGACACAGCTCTCCGTGTCTAAAGTGAAAACAGCAGAAATTGATGGGTTTACGGTAGAATTTAGAAGTTTTTTAAAATGATGTCAGACAGCTGTTTTACAATAATTTCATAGAATATATATCAGAAAGAAACCACTCTCTCTCCCAAAGAAAACTTCTCCTAATATAAAACAAGGGCTCATGAAGAGAATCATTGATATTCTCTTCACTTGAAGGACTCTTCTTATTATCAATACACCAATTAGTAAAATGGTGGAGCCATGATTTCACTACAGTGGGGAAAAAAGTATTTAGTCAGCCACCGATTGTGCAAGTTCCCTCACTTAAAATGATGACAGAGTTCAGTAATTTGCACCAGAGGTACACTTCAACTGTGAGAGACAGAATGTGAAAAAAAAATCCATGAATTCACATGATAGGATTTATAAAGAATTTATTTGTAAATCAGGGTGGAAAATAAGTATTTGGTCACCTCAAACATGGAAAATCTCTGGCTCTCACAGACCTGTAACGTCTTCTGTAAGACGCTTTTTTGTCCCTCACTCGTTACCTGTATGAATGGCACCTGTTTGAACTCATCATCTGTATGAAAGACACCTGTCCACAGCCTCAAACAGTCAGACTCCAAACTCCGCCATGGCCAAGACCAAAGAGCTTT